TCTGTGTGGAGTGTTCTCCCCGTGGCCACGTGGGCTCTCTCCGGGTACTCCGGCTTTCTCCCACCATCCAAAGACATGCAGGCTAGGTTAATTGGTGTATCTAAAATTGTCCTTAGGTGTGGATTTGAGTGTGAGTGGTTGGTTGTCTGTGTCCAGGATGTACCCCGCCTTTCGCCCGATGTAAGCTGGGACCCCCTGCGATAAGCGGTTGACGATGGATGGAACCATTTTAAAAGCTTGAGAGACAGTTTAACTGACAGACAGGTGGCGCTGCAAATTCAAACATACCAACCATTCAAGCACCGGAATAGGATCACATTTTACTTCCAGCTGTGGCTGGAAATAACAAAAGAAAACAATTTGTGCACATAAAAAACATGCAAAGCAACAAAATGAATATTATTCAACAGCTGCTAGCTTTTTACAGAAAATATTCAGATGTAATCATGAACATTTTCATAAGTAACTGTAATTTAATTACACCCCCCCCCCCCCCCCCCTAACTAAATTACATGTAACTAGTGACTCCCCAACACTGGTTATGACCAGGGCTTAATTTGGACATTCTCCTACATTCATGTACAAATGATTGGATCAGCTGCCATAACTGTCAGGTCCTTTTCTCTTGTACAAAGCCTGCTAAAGAGTTTTCAACAGCTTTAATCCCTGTTGTGTTGATTTTACTTATGTTTGTTTGCATTCTGTGTCATCAGGTGATGTTTATCCAAAACAAGGGTCATGTGACGATGACCATTGAGCTGCTGGACACTGAGGAGGCTCAGGCTGATGACCCGTTAGATGTCCAGGTAAACACACATTTACAAACCCTCTCTCTACACACGTCCTATAAATAATAAGATATAGTTAAATATGTATTCATCTTAATGGATCTTGCTTTACAGTTCTTAATGTCTTTGCCGTCTTCTCCCTCAGTGCCTGTCGAGCTACATGGAGCAGTTTGTGGGAACAGAGTCCAGTCTGTGTTCTCAAGCAGAGGGCTATTTCTTCAAACCTGTATTTCTGCCCAGGTAGAACATTATTTCTAAACATCAGATTTTTAGAAGTTTACACTTTAAGCTGCACACATACAGATCCTAATGCCACCCATCTTGTTTAGCTCGCGATCGCTCTCTCCAACTTCTGCTGCTTCCCCACTTGTTTTTTAGTACACAGCATCTAGTACAACAGACAAGAGAGTTTGAATTTCCACACTTTTCTAGTTTACTGAAAATGCAGTGTTTGTATGACTAAATGTTCATTCAGCGAACTTAGTGCTGACGGTGTGCAGGAATTCATGATTTCATTTCTCTATGCAATTCTCTACTAGGTCTGCAACTAACAATTATTTTAATAATCAATAAATCTGTCAATTTTCCTGATTAGTTGGTCCAGAAAATTGCAAGAAATGTTGAATGTTTCCCAAAGTCCAAGGTGATGTCCTAAAATGTCTTCTTGTTTTTACCCAAATATATTCAGTTTACTGTCATAAAGGAGTAAAGAAACCAGAACATATTGACATTTGAGAAGCTAAAATCTGAGAATTTGGAAGATTTTTCTTTAAAAAAGGAAGGACTCAAAGTGATTTAATCGATTATCAAAATAGTTGGTGATTAACTTAATACTTTTTAAACTTTTTGAGCCAGGTAAAATCTTGGAATTTGAGATAGTCTGATAAAGTTTCTGTTCAAACATTAGTCTGACTTTAGTGTTATATTGTTTCAGATCCATTGCCATCTCAGATAACATATGTAAAAATGTTCGAGGTCTAACTGATAAGCCATTCAGTTCTCAAAATATATCAGAAAATATTGTAATTCAGTCAGCGTTTAATAAAATGTCTTCTTGTAGGAACCTGCGTCGTTTTCGGCGCTGGCAGGTGCGGCAGGTGGAGGCGATGCGCTGCAGGAGAGAGTGGCATCGCCAGCTGGGCGTAGAGAACGCCGGGAGTCTGGACTGTCGATTTAAACTCAACACTCACAAGATGGTGTTTGTCATGAACTCTGAGGATTACATGTATCGCAGAGGAGCGCTAGTCAAGGCCAGGAAGGTAGGCTGCATTTAATTTCAGTCATTAGTCTCCCGCTGTGGTGTGTTGTAAGAGTATAAGAGTGTGAGGTGTGATGCGGAGAATCTGGGCATCAACATGTGTCATTTTCCTCTTCCTCCACAGTCGCAGCACCGAGTGGCAGCGAGCCAGCACGAACGCTTCGACAAGTGGCACCAGGGCTGGCTGGCCAATCACGTTACGGCCTCAGCTGAACGCTCGGTGCAGAACTGGCTAATGGGTGAGGAGGAGGAGGACATGATCCCTTGCAAGACGACCTGCCTGTCGACTGAGGTGAAAGGGCAAACGGTGAACAGATACCAGGTTCATTACAGCGGTAGCAAAGCCCCGGCCTCACCGTAGAGCCCCACATAGAGATGGACGTACAGTACACACAAACACAGGTAAATGCATGGACGTAAAGGACATTCATACACTAAACAGACATAAACCGCTGCAGTCCCACTTCTCCAGCGTCCTCCACAACATGTTCACTCATTCACTTTCACTCATGGATGAAGAAACTGGCAGAAACACAGTGCAGCCTCTGGACTGTTTACACCAGTGAACAGTGAGTCAGTGAATGAGTGAGAGGAGTGATGATGTGGAGGGGAGAAAAAAAATGGACCGACACAGACAGTCAAGTTAATCAATGAAAGTGAACTCGGCCCTGATCGACGGGGCCAAGTTGGACACGACGGCACAAACAGAGCTCATCATTATCATCATCATTCTAGCTTCTCTGGTGGCACTAAAAGAATGGTGGACAGAGACGGTTGGGAAGTTATGAGATCATGAAATTTGTTTCAGAAATGTGAATGTCTGTTTCCTTTTCTTTTTTTAAGTGTAGTTTTTAGCTTCTAAAGCCAGAGAGCCTTCTGTCTGTTGGTTGGTTTATGCGTGTTTATATGGAGAGATAATGGTAAACGTGTGTATGTATGTGTATCCTGCTCTCTTCATTTTGTCTGTTTGTATGCCCAGTACAGGCTCTACAACTCTAGTAATTCATATTACTGTATGTGCATATATACAACAGGGATCCTGGATTTTTATATATGCATCTACACGAGTTGATTGATGCATCTTGAGATCACGTGGTTCTTTACAGTGTTGTCAGCCAACTCTTGATGTTAGCATTTTGATTTTGGTTTTTTTTTTTTTTTTGTATTTTTTCCCTTTTTTGTGTTGTAGCTAAACAAGATATCACCAGGGCAACAAGGAGTCCTTAAAATTAATTGATTTAATATGGGTGAAGCAGTCAAATTATGTATCATATTCATGATACTAAATGTTTACTTTGTATTGTCTTTTTTTTGGCATACTGACATTGAAAATTAAAGCAAAATATCAGTGTTAAAATAGAATGTATAACATTTATCCTGTATCAGTTATCACAAAATAAACAACCTAGTTGTGACCTTCTTAGATGTTGACTGGCAGGTTGTTTGTTGGTTTGAGAGATGTTTTACGTACAGAAGACTCATCGATCAACTTGCTGAATCGATATGTTGGTTTTGCAATACCTTGATGACCGTGCGAAGTCGATCAATGGAGTGGCTGCATGTGAAACCAAAGCCTTTAAACTGGCAGACATCTGACACTATACACAAAAACTAAATTAGAGCCGAAATGATTAGTTGATTGATGAATTAATCGACAAATATGAAGTATTGATAACTACTAAACTATTAATAGATTGTGTTCAAGCAGAAATGTAAGGATTTGTTTGTTTTAAATCACTGTAAACTGAATATCTTTGGGTTTTATACTGTTGAACAAAAACAAATGAAGATGTTAAATCTTGAGTTCTGGGGGAACAATTTTGAAACACTATAGACTCACAGAATAGTTGATTTAAGAAAATAATCAGTAATGAAAATGGTCGGATTGCATTTAATTGTCCAAGTTCCAATTTTCTTAGTATCTTAGTGAAAACAATGACACCCTTTTTGACACAAAGTCCATTAGTAGCTGTTCTGGAGCTTTCAATCATATCACATGATCTTCCTCAACACATGCAGTTGTCATGCAGTTATAGATGTTGAAATTTCCATTTTTTTCCTGAGCACTTCAAGGACTTTTCGTCTATTTGGGTTACAAATGGAGACTAAGATTATTAGTTTGATTTGTGTGAGTGATGCAATCGAAAGCTCGAACAGTCACTAACTGACCTTGTGGAGAGGTTGTTTTAACTGCTGTCTCCAAGGTCAAGGACAGGATTTCAGTCTCCACTCACACACTTGGTTTTAAAAGGGAAAAGGCTGTTGTGATTTTGGATTATGAGGGATGGTTTGTTGGTGATTAGTCACAAAGTTAACTGTGTTCTCCTTCGATTTCATGGAAGCTTTCTCTCTGCCAAGAAGCATGATTTTCAGGATGACTCAGTCATCCTTAGTGGCACGCTGAACGTTACGGTGTCAGACTCCGCCTACCTGCTGGGAATGAAGAAAAGAAATTGCATCAAATGCCTAATCCCTGCCTGTGTTTTTGGACAGAAATGTCACTCTTGTCAAGAACTGCAACATCACTTTTCACCACAGGGCAGCACATCTATTTATATGTAATGACTAACGGTACTCTGAAGGTTATACATGGTTGTAATCTATTTCGAAGTGCACTGTTACATACTGCACCTTAAGAACAAAAGAACCCTTTATAAAACCACAAAAGCAAACAAATGAACTAAAAACCCCAATGCAGAAGAGGAAAGGGAAATACCCCGTCATCCACAGCAAATAATCTGATATTTGATGTAATCTGCAGGAATGGGCTCTGCACGTGTGTTAATGTGCCATTGCGACACTTTCATTCACAGAACTGCATCCGAGATACACCCTCAGCGAAGAATCTTGTCCACCACGAAGGTCAGACGCTTCTAAAAAAAACCTAAAACAATTAGAAGCGGTCGGAGCAGTTTAAACTTTAATAGTAAAAGAAGAAGAGTCTAGAGGCAGAGGGAGTTTTAAAAATAATCGTGGTTTATAAAACCCAGATATGACAGGATCACCAAAGTGTATACAGAAATACAAATACCATCAGGAAAACCATCATAGAACGGTGTTATACACTCGACATGTACAAACTAATCTGTAAAAGGGACTCAGGGGAGGATGGTTCAGACTGTAAGACATTTTCCTTTATGTCTCTTAAAATCACATTTAGCCACGATGAATTTATTCTTTTTTTTTTGTCTCTTATCAAAGTAGAACATCCATCTACCAAACTACAGGTATTATCACATTCAGCTAGATTAGAGAAAGGGTACGAACAACATCGAGAGGAAGGGGGGAAGGAGAGGGATGCACACATATCAAGCACTTTAACATCATGGGGGTTTTAGCAAGCAGTGAAAACAATCATCTTTGATTTTCACCCATGAGAAAAATGGGATGCCAGGGCTTATCGCCAACATCATCTCAACAAACAAACTGTACAAAATAACCCTGTTTTTTGTTTTTGTCAGTGGGTTCCACATAATGAACATCTGTGAACAGACGCTGGTCACTAAAACATTTGGTTTTCTCACAGAGAAGCGTCTCAAAAATGCTTCGAGTGAGCAAATTAAAGATCCCAGATCTGTTTGTGAGATATTCAAGAGAAGCTCAGGCAGATCTAGGATCCGTTTATGGGCATTTGTTGTGGTGTGTGGGTCCTCTCTGGGCTGGGGTCAGTTCCTGTGCCCTATGGTATGTCAAAGTGCTTCTGTAAGCGGGGTAGTTTAAAACAACAGATGTAGAAGTCCACAACAATTTCATGCACATTCACAAATGTACAAACAGTATTACAGCTTCAGGACACAGTCATCTGCCCCCGCTCCCTCCACGAGCCCTGGACACAAACCCTTGGATATGACAGAGCCTTGAAATAAGAAGGAATCACCAACAAGATACAACTAATCACATCTCCAGGATTCCCCCCCCTTATTCTTATACAAACACATTGTCAACAGATTTACACATGAAAAGGAGTGCAGGGTTGTGACCAATCAAAGGAGAAGCTCCTCATCGCCTAAAAAATACTGCTTGTTTTGGAGCAAAGATGTCAACGTTTGAAATAAATCGTTGTCACAGTAGCGACAATGATCGCTAATATACACATCATGTGAAATAAATTAAGATCTATGTACAATGTAGAACAAAAGCAGCATGCAGGCAAGACAACAGCCTTTTTACAAAACTATCTGCTATGGTGTTGTGCTCTCCAACACGAGAGAGAGAGAGGCAACGTGGGTTTGTGTGTGTGTGTGTGTGTCATGTTTAATGCCTCTATACAGTTATAGGATGTGTCCAGTGTATTTAAATGGACCGGGAAGCTACCCATCTTCTACATTTTAACAGGTACAACACAGCCGTTTTTTTTTTTTTAAACTTTCTAGCTTTCCAGTTCACATTAAGCTCATTGCACACAGAAGCTTTTCAGTCTTTTAGCCGCTACGGGAAAAACACAAGTAGAAGAAACAGGACTTTCTGTAATACATTTGCCTTGTAGCTTTGTCGTATGACCGGCTGATGGTGACGCGGTGTAGCCACAGGGAGGAACGGGTGGAACAGGAAGAGAAAGTTGAACACACACCAGCATTCAAGTTAGCATCCTTTCTCTGAAAGCCAGGGGAGCCACTTCAACAGCAGCAGCAAAACACTTCCAAATTACAGCCAACAGATCTGTAATTCAGAGCTGGTAGTTTGAAAATGAGTCAAGGAGGCAAAGAGTGGACGTCAGATGTACAGCACATTTTTCCTGGTTACTAACTGTCCTAAAATTAGTAGATTACTTTTGATCTAACAACTCACAACATCTTGAAATCATTTTTTTAAGTGCTAAAATGAACAAGAAATGTGGAACATTAGAGCCAAACAAACAAACAGCACATATCTGGTGACAGGAACGCTGAATGTGGTGAAGCCTGAACTGAAACACGTCACAGGTTAGAGACATTTACTGTTAAAGAGCCCTGAAGGAGCGATTGCATTGTTGCCAGTGGTTGACAACCAAGTAGCTCAATCAGAGCCTCAAACTCGCCCAATTGTCAAAAAAGTAGCAACATTTTTTATTTCTCATGCGGATGGAATGGTTTGTTTTTTTGTGCATTCTTGTTTAAATAGAGTATAATTAGGTGAACCAGAGTCAAAAGAGGCCGATTCATTGGGTTACAGTCTAACTTTTTGTTGGAGGAAACCGCACAAATGGCACAAAAAGTAGCCCTAAAACCATTTTTATCCATGCTATTCAATAAACACTGAGCATTTGTCATGGGCCTCTCAATTTCTAACAGCGCTCGTGTCTGGTAACCATATGAAGTGTCTCACAATATACCAGTGGTTGTCAAACTGCTTCTGTCATTCCCTACTTTAAAAGGTAAAATAAATTTTGTTACTTTTTGTGTAAACTAACAACAAAATGAACTAGTTTTCATTTAATTGCATTTACATTATCTTGAACAATGGCTGTATGTTTCTTTGTGCACGTTTCTCGTGTGTTTTTTAGACACAGACACAAGGCCGTCCTGCTAAATTCATACTTCGCTGAAAAACCTGTTGAAAAAAAAAACAATATGAAAAACCCATATTGTACTTTACATGTTGTTTTGCTGTCTGAATAAATCTTGCTAAAATATTGAAAGCCTTGCTAGCATGAGAGCAGAGCACTCTTGTTTGGATATTGTAACCTTCAATCAGATTAATAAAATTTTAGTAGTGCCCCCCCACGCTCCCAGTTTGAGGACTACTGGCATGTATACTGAGGAGTTTGACTAACAATTTGACTGAACATGCGGTGCCTCCCATCACTCTGTTCTTGACATATTCTACTCATATTACTGGGATTTCCAACAAGACAGAACCTGCCTGCTGAAACAGCCCAAAATAATCTTTTGTAAATAAGCTTTGTGCAGGTTTGACGGACAGATCGGCTGACACATTCATAGAAATTAAGCTTTGGTAGTTAATGCAAAGAATAGCAATACACAGACATATACTGTATCTTAGTTAAGTCAGTTTTGCACCAATTTGAGGTTGGGGGTAACTGTTAGCTTATTAAAAGCGTGGCACAGCCAAGAAAAACATTCCAAACATTATAAAATACATTAACAATCATCGTGATGCTCAATTTTGTCTCATTAGTATAAACAACACATGTAGAAGTACTTAACAACTACAATAGAGTAATAGTGCACATCAAAATATATGAAATATATTACAAATAAACTTCACAGACTAGAAATGTTTGAATCAAAACATCCCTTTTGTGTACAAGTAGTCCCCCCCCCCCATGTTTTGTGTATTAAATGCACTTTTCCTGCAAGTGCCTCCTGGGTTGTGAATGACATTAATACAACTCAATCAAAAAAAAGAAGTATAAAAAGAATCAACGAGTTGAAACCAGTTGATTTGTTTTGATATGTTGTGATGTGTCGAGTCTTTCCTCAGGTTTCTATTGATTCATATTAAGTCTTTTGATTGGCTTGTCTTCTCCCTGTTGATCCTAGAGCAGTTAAAAAAGGTAGAGTAAACAGTCATCTGTAGCCTATCTACGCAGCTCCTAGCAAAATAAATCCAGAAAACGTAAAGAAAAACAAAACACAAATACCTCAAAGTAAACAACAGTTACTAAAAAAGTCCTTTTAAAAAAGAAGAGAATAATCCCACGGCAGTGTGGTCTGTGTTTCCTGTTATGTGCAGAAGATTTCCCTTGATGTCTGTCTGTCTGTATGGCATCAGCTCTCCCCTCAACTGTAGCAATATTACCCTATACTTGTGCTTCAGCAGGTTCATCTTTATAGTTTTCTATGTGTTTTTGCATTACTGTGTGTGTTTTTCTATACTTATAAAGACCGAGGATGTAAAGACGAGGTAAATTGTCCAAAGTGAGGGCAGCCTGAGGTCCTCACTGCTTTAAAGGTTTAGACTGAGGTTAAGGGTTACTAAACTAACTATAAAGGAAAAGGGTTGAGGTTGCGCGTTAGTGAATGAGGTCCTTATAAGTATAGTGTGTGTGTGTGTGCGTGTGTGTGTGTGCATGTGCTGACGTTGTGGACTCAGCTGAAAGCCTCATCATCCGTGTCTTCAATTAGCACCTTTGTGTCCTTTTTCGATCTAGAAAAAGAGGATCGAAACAATGAAATATTATCTGGCATTTCGTACGTTAATATTGTTTTATTTTGTACTATTTAATTCACTGATAGTTGCATCTTGAACGTCGTAAAACAACAGCTGTCTTTGCCTTATCCATGGATAAACATAGTTAAGCATTTATACATTGTTATAGTTATTGTTTGTATTGTCATTGTTATAGTTATTTTTGTTCCTGTTAAACATTTCTTAAAGTCAGAAATTGTCTCAATCTCGCAATGGAAATAAGATGATAACACTTCTACATCATTCTATCACTGACCAACTCTGATATATAGGATTTTATAAATATATCATAATTATATGATATAATTTGGTTATTCAGGTTTTTTAGCAGCTTGTTTCTAGTGTTCCAAACGAAAGTATGTTATTGTTGTGTTGTTTTTATAAAGGGCATGCAGCCAACAAAGATGTGAAATGAAAAATCTCTTCAAGGTCTTTCATTCCTTAGAACATTTGAGATATTTGTCTACAGTAATTTCTACTTTTCTACCTCCTCTGTGTTTATAAATTTAACTAAAATAAAAATGTATGACAGTGCATGAGCCTGAAGTCAAGTGTCCATGTTATGTCTTACAGTGAGGAGGACAGCAGGGGGCGTCTGAGCGACAGGCTGTAGGACCTCTTCCAGGTCTTCTTGCCCGAGCGGTTCCGGACGCCGTCCTCCTGGTCCATCATCTGCTCCAGCAGGGTCTGGTCATCGGCATTGAGTGGCGCCACCGAGATGTCCCTCACAGCACGAAACTCACCACAGTTATTCAGGTGCTCGTTCTCCAGACGGAAGAAGTTCCACACAAAACGCCTGCAGAGAGAAGGTCAGTAGGATGAACCTGATGTAAGCAGTGAAATGTGGGGGCCAAATCATTATGAAATGATTTCAGGAATCAAAGGTCTGAAAGAAAACCTCATCTGTGTGACTTCAGGTTTGTGTATAACACAAAGTTATCATATAACTGAGGCCCACCTGAAGACCTCGAGGGGAGCCAGCACAGTGGCTATGATATCGCCCATATCGTGAATCTTGGTCATTGTGGTCAGAGAGATCTGGATCGTCCAGGCAAAACGCAGGATCACATCTTCTATTATGGCACAGTAGTAGTAGGCCTGTATGCAGAGGGGACAGGATCAGATAACAGTGTGTGTGTGTGTGTGTGTGTGTGTGTGTGTCATGAGATTCCTTTCACACTCTACCTTGTGTGGGTAAACAATTTCTTCTCTGAGGAAGGTGTTTTCTCCGGCTCCGCGGTCGAACAAGCCCCAGTCCATGCGCAGATCCCAGATCAGTGTGTACAGGGAGCTGATAATGGAGAACACGATCAGCAGGTAGAAGAACATGTCAGCGTCCGTATGCCCTTGCTCTGG